CAGCGCCCGTCCGAATTCCGCCCACTGGCTGGGGGCGCCTCCGCCGCCCCCCGCGGGCCCCCACCCCGCCGCAGCCGCCTGCCCGCCCCGCGTCAGCCCGCCGGCCGGTGTGTGCCCCGAGCGCCCGCCTGCACGCGCCGCCGCCCCGCCCGCCGTGCGCGCCCCCGCGCCCGCGCGCCCGCGCCCGCACCTCCGGCCTCCGCTAGGTGATGCTGCGCCCGCCTGCGCGCCGCGCTGCCCGCCGGGCGGGGCTGGGTCCCGACGGTCGGTACCGGGTCCAACTGGTGAGCCAGGTTCGGACCGTATCGGGTTCGAGCGGACGGTACCGGGTCAGACGGGCGGGCGGCCGGGTTCGGACGGTACCGGGTTCAGACGGGCGGTACCAGGTCCGACCGGTGGGCGGGGTTCGGATGGGCGGTACTGGTCCGACTAGGGGGCCAGGTTCGGACGGTGGGTTCAGGCGGGCGGGCTGGGTTCGTGTGGAACCGTGCGGGGACCGGTGGTATCGGATCCAGCTAGTGGGCGGAATTCGGACGGGCGCTGCCGGGTCAGACGAGCGGGCCAGGTTCGGCTGGGCGCGCTGGGCCGTGGAGGCCGCAGGGCTGGGACTCGCAGAGCCCCTCTGGGCGCTGATCGCACGGGGCCCCGCAGCGCCCCATGCCCGTGTGGGCTCTGGGGTGACTCCCGTCTGCTGGGCCTTCCTCCCGAGGGGGGGCGCGTCTGTCGTGGCGCTACGGGTCCCCCCGCCCCGGGGCTGGGCCCCCACGTCGGTGTTGGTCCCACGGTGTCCGGTCGGAGCGGCCTCCTGGCTGCGTGTGGATCAGAAAACACGTCTTCTCGCAGCACCAGGTTGCAGCCTTAGGTGACGGGGTCCCTCGAGGTGCCCCCGGGCGCGGGGAGATGCTGCCTTTCCACAGCGCTAGAGCCTCCGAGTGTCCCGGTGCCTCTGCAGACCTAACATTCATTTCAGCAGCAAGCTTCGTCCATTTTAGGAGTATTTATTTCATTAGGTGTTTTCTCTTTAATTCTCCTCCTCCCCCCCGCCCCCCGCCAAAAAAAAAAAACAAATTTGGCAGCAGAACACCTGCCAGCAGACATTTATTTCCCCGTGCAGTGCTGGGCCAGGTGAAGGCAATCTCCTGTGTTATCTGTGATGTGTTGCAACAAAAACCTTCATCTCTGAGATACCACAGCTAAGTGACGAAAACAGTGAGCTACATTTGACAAAGCCTCTTTATTTTTGTCATTGTCTTTCCCAGTGTGAGATGATTTTTCCCTCCACCAGCTGGATTTCTTCTCTTCTGGGAAAGACGAGAATTCTACCATCCTTGCTGGGTTCTGTCTTCAGCTGTCTTTTCTGCGGCACTAGTACAATTCAGCTTCATAAGGAGGCTTTTCAGCAGAGAAGCCTGCGGGGTTGAACCAGTGCCATGGGGGAATGAATTCTTCAATAGATCTCCAGCCTCCTTTCTCAAAATTAAAATGTGGTGACTTGCAGAAAAGCATATGTATATAAACGACACATCTGTGTTCTGACATTCTGTTCCTTTATGCTTTGTAGTTCCTGTGCTTCTTTATAGACTCAAGTTTTTTGTTTTGGGATTTTGTTTGTTCGTTTGCTGTGGTGAACACCACGGTGTCCATACAGCTCAGAACTGTCCAGCTAAGTTCCACACATGCCGTGTGGGTCATCAGCTATAGTGTCAGCTGAATTATAACAGTAAGAACTCTATTCCTGACTATGGTATTAGCAAGAATGACTTGGCTCTTAGAGCAAAGAATTAGTTTGCAAAGCCGGCAATTAGTTTGCTGGGGTCTGAAGTAAGTACGTGTAGAAAATTTAGTATTGCTAGAAAATAAGTATGGGCTCCCTGCAGTGTTGTTTTTGTAATAAACATGTGTAGCATACATGAAATGCCTACAGTTTGATGCAGGACATGTAGAAGGCTCTAAATCATTGTTAGTTATTATTGTTTTTCTGACTCATTAAAAATCCCCATTGGCATTATGTGTGAGTGGAGGATGAGTATACCGTTCATAGTAGGTCCCAACCAACATTAGTTTCTTGACAAAGGCTTAAAAGCAAGGTGAGACCCATAGAATACATACGATTATTAAATCATGAAGACTCTTAGAACTGGTATATTTAGGCCATGAAAACCTTCAAGCTAACAAATTCTTCTACTAATTGTAAGAAATATACTGAGCCATATGTTAATTTTGTAAGTACACGTGCTATCCATCTTCTATTCTCATAGCACTGCTGAGTTCTGATATGTTTCAGAAATCATATTTAAGTGCTATTCAGGAGATACTGTATAAAAATTAAGTCACATGGGATTTTTTTTTATTAAACCTGCCGTGTAGACAGAGGAACTAAGGTGTGGGGTGAGAGACCAGACCGAAGGTAAACAAAGCTTCATTGGGTGAGGTTTAAATCAGATTTTTTAATCTGAGTACCCATTTTAAAAATTTTATTTTGCAGTGTATATATTTACCTTTTGATTTTCTTTTTCTAAGTATTATTTTATTTTTAGCTACACTATTAAGAGCTCCTATTTAAATCAGCACTGATCTACAAATAGTTCTAAATATCTCTAAAACTTAAACCTACTTAAAACCTTGCAGTATCGTGTAATGGGGATAAATATATAAGAACAAATAAATAATGAAAAATTTTAAATTCTGGTTAAGCTTTGAACATTTAAAAATATTTTTGGAAACATTATGAAACCCAGCTTCTGAGACCAACCAAATGGAATAAACTTATTCCTGCTGCAGTTTTCACAGGCTCTGGAAAATAGAAAATGCCAGGGAAAAGATCAGGAACTTAATCCATCTCAGAAGAAAAAAATGGTACAAATATATTAACAATATTTCACTATATTAGCTATATTTGACGACCTATAGGTCATTTTCTAGCTGCCAATAAATTTCAGTAAATTAACCAAATTTTAAAATATTTCATCCTGTAATTGACAAAGCATCTTATAAGCTTTTTATTAGCTATATCAATTCAGAGGATGGTCTTTAAACAAAAAGTAAAGGGATATAATAAAGGTTCAAATTGAAGAATTTCTAGGGTAGACTGCCTTCCTCCATAGCCTAAGCAAGTGAAAGTTAATTTAGTCACAGCTAATCCAGAAAGTTAAATAACCAGACTCTTCCTTTGCCTAACCCATGACTAAAGAGGTCAGTGTGGCTAATTTAGTTTAAAAAAGAAATTAGTAGGGTATGTGCTACTTTATTGGATAAATGGAGAAATGTATCTTTAAACTCTTCTTCATTATATTCCAATGTTCCTGATATTTAAATTCTGGATTACCTAATAGAATTCTCAGGAAACAAGATTTCAGAGAAAGAAGAGATATAAAAAAGCCCTTAAATAGGAAATTAATCTTACTTGTTTAAAAAATTAAATATTACTAATGCAGAAAGACTTCTGTGGTTAAATGTGTTCTCTAGCATTTTATAACCTAAGATAATGCTGAAAAAAAAACCAAATCTAAAACAGTTAAATAAGATATTTACACTGAATACAAAGAAAATAGCCCATGTGTGTCTGTCTGTATGTGTGTGTCCATATGTGTTGCGAGTGTCCCTGTGTTCAGTGTGTGTGTGTGTGTGTGTGTGTGTGTATTAGCGGGAGAATTACAGCCCGTGAACATTGCTCACGCCCCTGTGTTGGAAAGCTGCTTCGTGCACCTTGTTTGTGTCCACAGCACCAGGTGTCGGGACCCATCTCTTGATTTTTGACTCTTGTCTCCGCTCCCACTGCTGAGTGTTGCACAGAGCTTCGCGTGCAGTGGGTGTCAGACACATCACCCCAACTGGGTGAGCATGGCGTGCAGAGGGGCCACTAGCACACAGCGTCCACAGCTGCTGGCAGCTCCCAGTGGGCCGCTGCTCAAGTGAGGGGTCTTCACAAGGGCAGTTTCCTCAGCGTGGAGGCCTTGGGAGTTTTCCATCAGCCTTTCTCTTTTCTCGTGACAATAGTCCCCAAAACTGGGGCTAGCCGAGGAAAGTGCCTCCCTCGTTCCTGAAATTGAGGTCTCGAGCTCCTGAGCAGCCTTTATAGGACTCTGTCAACTGGCTGTCACTGATAAAACAAAAGCAAAAAAATGTAGGCATCATTATGGAAACCAGGTTCTAAGATGAGCTACATGTAATAAACCTGACTCCTGGCCCAATTTTCACAGACTCCGGAAAATAGAAAGTATCAGGAAAAAGATCAGGAACTTAATAGACCTAAGAAGACAAATGGTACAAATATATCAACTATTCTCTGTGTCTCATGCCCTTTCTTGCTAGAAAATGGGTATATAGCTATAGATATACCATACTTGTAATACGTTATATTATTTATATAAATATAAGCATATAAATTTTATATAATTGTGTGATATATAATATATGCTGAGGTATAGCATATACGTAATTTTTTCCTGGAAGCATTTTTAAATGCAAACTCCCGTTAAATTGTACTTAAACAAATAAAAACATACCAAATGAAGGGAACATGTGCTATTAAATGCTTTACCAGCAGTAAAAATAAGAGAAACCAGAGAAGAAAGTGTTGACGAGTGTCTTGTCCGTGGGAAACCCAGGAGTGGGACATCCCCAGACTTCCCCCAAGCCGAATCTCTTCTTCATGCACCAGCATCTCTGGAAATCCGAAATACCACATTTCAGGTGTTTGCTTTTGGAAATGCAGTGCAACTTACACTGTTTTGAAAGTGCTGCTGACGTTTGCAATAATCCATGAGAAGTGGAAAGCTTGGGTAAGGCTCCTGTCATGACGGTGCTGTAAGTCTGTGCTCTGAGGCTCCCGTGCCACACACACACCTGCTCTAAATATACACGAGTGAAAGACGGAAAAGAAGGAGAAAATGTA